CCCCACACACACACACTTTCCCCAGGCTCTCCTCCGGCTGCTACAGAAAGCCCTCCCCGCAGGCCTCTACCTTGAGGTCCCGGCACTGGGACTGGAGCCAGTCGTTAATGAAGCCCTGAGGGTCTCGGGCAAAGCTTAGCATGAACTCCCGCTGTGTCTTCAGCTGATTGATGGTTTCTATGGTCTCGTGGATCTGAAAGAGGGAAAGGGAAATCAGAACACGCACGCACGCACACGCATGCACACGCGCGCGCTGTCTCCATGCCTCGTCCAAGGTGAGCACCCAGGCCACCCTCAGCGATTCCTGGGCGCATATGCCCGCAGGAAAGCAGCTCCTGTTTCCGTGGGTCTGTCCAGGCTGAGGGGAATTTTCTTTTTAGTCACAGAAGGAGCAGACAGTGGAGCCTTAATTCACAGCACAGATGGTTCTGGAAACTTTCTAGTAGAAAGAGGGGTCTACAGGGGCTCCCAGACCTTTGTTCCCAGCCCTCTGTTCTTGTTCTAAATACAACCGGCAATTCTACCTACGTGCACATTTGCACTCTCCCTGAGGCTGCTCTGCTGGCCAGAACCCCATTTCTACACTCCAGCCCACCCCGCTGCTTCCGTGACACCACCAGGACCTCACGCTCGATGGCTCACAGCCAGCTCTTCGCCCTCTGCCCATTCTCTGGCTGAGTGGGTACTGCACAGCTGGGAGTCACCATGAAAGAAGCCCCTTCTCCTTCACCTCCTACCCCAGCCACACAGGGGCCGAGGGCCTTCAGTTCCACTTTGCTGCCTCTCAAAGGGGAGGCAGACGGGGCTTCTACTCCAGTGAAGAGGTGCCGTCTCGGACACCCGCAGGGACAGTTCTACCGTCTTAGAGGGTCTCTGTGAGTCGGCATCCACTCGACAGCAGTAAGAAAAAAGAAGAACCTCTCTCGGAGCTGCCCACATGTTTCCATCTCTAGGCATAGGCCCTCAGCCTAGCTCTTAGGGGTTACTGTGCCAGCCTCCCAGCCAGGGCCCTGGCTTCCAGATTTGCCTTCGTTCACGCCATTCTCCACCCTCTTGCCCATGGCCATTCAAAATGCAAAGGGTCTTTCGACAAGCTCCCGAGCCTCCAGAGTGAGCTGTTACCAGCAGTCCCATCAAAGCCCCTGGATGACTGGGGCTTCCTCTCCCCAAACGTCCCCTCCTGACACCCTGTGCGGTATCCAGCACGCTTCGTTCACAGCTCGGAATATCTGGAATACCCCAGGAGCTTTCCTATCTCATCTGCATAGTCCATTCTCTCTTTCTCAACTGTCCTCACATCCGTGCCCCCTTCTTTTCAAGCACCACTATCCTGCTCCCCAAGGAACATTTCCATTCCTGCCCCTTTGTGGTGCTGGCACCTTTGGGGCCATGCCTAAAGATGTCACCGGTCACAGTCACCACAGCTACAGCTACCACCACGACTTCCCCGTGCCAGGCACAGGGTCCTGTGCTTCACAAGCATGTGACCTCATCAGACCCTCCCAGCGAACTCATAGAAGAGGGAGAGGAGCCCAGGCTCCGCTTCCCCATCAGACAGGCAGAGCAAGAACCAGGACTCAAACGTGTCTGAGTGGCACTTCCTAAGAACAAAAGAACCGAAGTGCCCAGCCCCAGGGCTGGTGGCAGCGCGACCAGGGACGAGCCCTTACCTTGTTGTCTAGAGTGGCGATCTCTTGCTGGCTGGCAGTGGACAGCAGGAAGGAATTCATTTGCGTTTTCAATGTATCATCCACTTCCACATCAATGTCGTAACAAGCTGTCTTTTTCTGATCATTAGGGTCAACACTGAGGAGAAACCAGAGGGGCCTAGTAAAAGGGCTTGTTCTTGCAACCTCCCTCTACAGAACCTAAAAAGATGGTCTGGGGTGAAGAAAGGGCTTCTCTGCCTACAAAAGGGCGTGAGAGAACTTGTGTGGGTGACAGGTGGTGGTGGCAGCCACGTGGTGAGTTCATGTGTCAGGAGTCATTCAACTATACTTTATACGGGTGCAATTTATGATAAATGAAGGTTGACTGAACACATACACATATCCAACTTCTACAAAGAAGAATCCAGGACAGACTAACTGTTAATTAGTTGGATGAGTGATAGTTTCAGGTTTGAAAAAGAAGGGTCTTTAGTGACAAGCATGCATACGAAGAAAGAAAGAGAGGGCAAATCGACTAGAAGCAGCTGGAGCAAGAGGCTGCTCTGAGGACGAAGTCCCATGTGGGTAGGCCCTACTGTCCACAGAGAAGGCGGCGGCGACCTCCCCTGTCAGCAAGGAGCTGGGGAATGATGCGAGGGCGCCCGCAAGGGCTAGAAGCAGCCCTGGGTTGCAGCACTGCCCGAGCCTACAGTTCGCACACTCCCCTTTCAAGCAGTCCAAGTTGTGTCCCTGATAACAGAGGCAGGAGGAGCTGTGCAGTAGCAGACCACTCTGGACTCTTTCCACTACACAGACAAGACACAAGCAACTTTGAGGGAGGACAACTGTGACATGATGAAATAAGTAGGCAGTGATGACTTTTAAATTCTTGAGGCTGTGGAAAAATGGAACTCCTCTGTTTGAAGCTTTGTGCTGGAATTGGGTGAAGGGTTACAGAGCAGAGCGTGTTTTCTATTCCACAACGTACCAAACCTTGAAAATGGCTTTCCATGAACCTTTTGGAAGCCCCCTCATGTGTCATCTTTGCTTTTAATACAATGTGCTTCCGTTTATACAGTTTAAGTAATGGCTAATTACCAATGTGCTTCTGGGAAACTGGTTCCTGAGTGTCCACCGCCCCCCTCCCCCCACTACCTTGTGTGTACCTGATGACGTGATTAATGATGATGGGTTCTGGGGGCATCAGCAAAGCATGGAGCCGCTGGGGGATCTCTGAGAACTTCATACGCTGAGACTCGAAGATCTGTGGGAAAGAGCAGCAGCAGCAACTAGGATCTGACATGGTGAGCCCCACCAATGCTCCGGGCTTCTAGCAGGAGAAAGGGGCTGTACCTTACCTGCTGGAGGTACTTGTCACAGATGACAAACTCCCGCTCGTGAGGGTCCTGGAGCTTGTGTGTCTTAATATACTGCCACAGGGCCTGGATAATCACCGGGCGAGTCTGCGTGTGGATGCCCAAGAGCCGAGCCAGGCGAGGATCTAATTTAAACTGGGGAGGCTGCAGAGACAAAGTCAGAGAGCTACCCTGATCTGCATTCAAGCACACTTCACTTAATTACAAGGTTGATCCAACCCATGCAATCAACATTAGTGGGGCACTCTCCCTGGAGCCAGAAACAGACGAGGAGAAATCCAGATATGACTAAGATCCCGGCCCTGTTCTCAGGGAAGTTGGAAAGTCTGGTGGGAAATCATGTCCGACCAGACTGAAACCCTTCAAGGCCAGGACTGCTGTGGGGTGTGACCCGTGTACCTGGTAATCCAGCATCAGCAGGACAGTACAGCGCACATTCACGTCTCCCGGCCGCTTCACCTGGAAGCCGTCAGTCTCCTGGGTGGTGGCGGTCCTGTGCCACTACAGGGAGGAAGGTATTAGGGGTGCTCTCCCAGGGGAAGAGCTGGGAGGGGGTTGAGAAGAGCTTCTGTAATGGCTGAACAGTAAGTTTTGATTACTGAGGCTACTGGAGAACAGCAATAGCATGAGGCTTGTTTTCTGTTTCTTTTTAATTACAAATGGTTTTGAGCTTAATGTCTATGCTGGAGGACGGGGACAGGCTCAAAAGGTTCAGGGGAAATTCTGATTTTTCATTCCATTTTTCAATTAACTTTTTGAAAAGCCCCCTCAGATGAGCCTTTAAGTCTGAATGTTCAGGACCACATCCCAATAAGTCTGAATTCCCAGTGATGATGATATTCACAAAGTAGATAATACAAAACAGCATAACAGCATAACAGAGTTATACTGGCTCAATATCTACTCTGTTGAACAGTACTCCAGGCCTTTTACCTGGATTATCTCCTTTAGCGTCTGCAACACCCACAGGGGAGTTACCCACCGTGAAGCCTCTTTTACACACAAGAAACCCAGTTCTCAGAAGAGGGCAATCACTTGTCTAAGGTCAAACAGCCAGTAAGCTGTGGCGCTGCCAGCTGCCTGCTGGTGTGCCTGCCGCTACAGTCCACTCTCAGCCACTCTGCTCTACGACTTCAAATTAGTTCAATGTGGTCACACGTTGCCCTTAATTCTGCCTGTTAATTCAATGTTAAGGCTTCCCCTTGTCTCTCACTGGCTTGCAGGAAGGGGCTGTGGTGAGACTGGCAAAGAGGAGCAGACAGCGAGCCCTTGGGAGTGTTGGACTGTCTCATTGTGGTTCTAACTCTTCACCAAAGAAGTTTCCTTACCAGCAGACTCTTCTGCAACAGGAATGCCATCACTGATACGCTCTTCAGAACATAATGCAACGTGGCAGTGAGGGATTCCGGGAAATAATTTGCAATCTAGATGGCACAGGGACCGACAAGAAGTGGCTGCTCTAAAAGGTGATTTTGACAAGCACCAGAATCCTGTTCCTCTGTCTCCCAGGAAAAAGAGGGAGTGCGGTAGGGACAACCAGGTCTCATGAATATGAACAAGCTAGACGCACAGGTGCCTGGGACACACAAGAGGCCTCCATGATAATGTCCCTTGAAAGTGGGGAGCAGAAAAACGAGCTATCTGTGCAACCACGACAGTATCCTTTAAAAAGGGGGGCAAGGTAGAAGGCTGGGGTCCAGCACCTGAACTGATGGTCGCTCGTGCCACCTGGAGGCCGATGTGCAAACTGCAGTGGTGGCTGGTTCCGTACACCTGGGGTAACCCTGTTATTCCCACCTCCCGGCTCCCTCCAGTCTCCTCTGGCTTCCCAGGCTGAGAAGGCAGAACTACTCACTTCTACCAGATGGTTGTCTGGCCCATACAGGTCTTTGTCCAGCTCAATCACCAAGGACTTAAAAAAGGACGAGAACTTCCTTTTTTGTTTGGTAGCATCATATTTGGACAAGGCGGACTAGGCGAGAGAGGAGAGGTCAGGTTAGAAGAGACCAGAGGACACTAACTATGACCAGGTCCCACAGAAAGGGAACCCAGGACGGCAATGGGAACACTGTCCACAGTTACTGTCTAAGGCTCTCTTAGGGGAGGGCACTAGGCAGTCATGGTGGCAATGGAACTCCACAGCAGCAGCCTGGCCCACGCACATGCACCGGGTCCCTGACTTAGCCACCTCTCCCCAAGGGAAATGGGGCCAAGTTAAGCCAAATCACTGCCTGTTAACAACCAAGCAAGTTTGAACAGAGAAAAGCCTGACATCACAGGCAAGAAGCAACCAGAACAAAAAGGCTTATGTGGACGAATGACAACACCAGCAGATGGATGGGACCTACAAAGAGGAGGAGGCGGTTCTGATACGGAGCCCTGGTTTTCCGGCAAAAAACCTGCCTCCAAGAAGTTAACTTATGAGCAGCTAAAAATAGAGCGCTACAGACTATCAGGGAGTAAGGGGAAGGTGAGCTTCTCCAAGGAGCTGCTGAAGCAGGAAAGTTGAGGCCTTTCCCTGGCCAGCTGCTGCTCCTCAGGAAGTGACCAAGAGCCTGTGGGAGAAATGTACCTCAGGTAAGTGGTGAGGTATCCCCACTGAGAGCTGGGAAGAGGGAGCTTGCTCAGGGGGACTCTGGGACCCTCAAGGTCTCAGAGAAAAATCATGGCTGCAAATGCCAAGTGCAAACTCACTGGATTAGAAATAAATAACACGCAAGACAAATCTGCTGCTCCCAACGACTCCGATGGACAGCAGCACCAGGAAGAAGGTCAACAACAAACCAGATCCTGGGACAGTAAGGCTCTCGAGACAATGCCCCAGTGCCGGCCCAAGCATGGGAGCCAGACACAAAGAACCACTGTCTCCGGGGCAGGGGACAGAGTGTCCTGCTCCCTGTTGCTCCCGACAGGAGCAGGACGCCTCAGCCAGGCTTCCTGCTGAGCAGGCAACACTGCTCCGTTCCCCACAGCTCCCCCCCCAGACACCGACCACGGTGGGGTGGGCCTTCAACTCACATCCTCCAGGAGCCGTCCTTCTACCCGAAGCTCCCAGGAAGCCACCGTCCCTTCCCCATCCTCGGCATCTGACTTAGCCGGATTGAAAGTGTTAGAAATGAAAATTCGCAGCTTCCGCTTTTGCTGAGGAAGGCAGAAACAGGATTGATGGGGGGAGCTTCAGAGGTTTGATACCGAAGACTAGGGTCTCCCCAAACCCCGAAATGACTCCTAAATAATAGGCTGGCTTGCTGTCCACCAGACCCTGGGGTGGGTGAATGGAGCGTCCCTCACAAAGGGAAGACCAGGCCACTGGCCTGAATGTGAGGGCATACACTGGGATGCCAGACGGACACCGTCATGCAGGGTACCAGGGCCCAAAGGTAGCAGAAGAGATACAGCAAAAAAATGGGGCCAGTTGCTCTCTGGTGCCAGAGACCTCAAAAGCTCCTCCCTCTTGCTGTTCTGTTCTTAGGCTCCTAATGTTAATTCTCAGTTTGTAGGCGGAAGGGAGAGATGTAATTTAAGTGCCACGGAGAGCTGTGCTGTGCCTTTAATTTCTCATCCTCAGCCTGCTGAAGGTTCCCGACTCTTCTCTCCTGGCTCTCTGCCTAGAGGTCTCCCGCGTTACCTTGATGGGCCGTTTCAAGGCCTCCTGGATATCCAGCCGTTTCCTCATGATAGTCTGGTCCAGCTTCCTTTCAAAAGCCAGGAGATCCATATAGGCCTGAGACTCTGGTACCAGTTCCCGAATCTTAGGGGGAGAGAGAGAGGCCGTTGGGACCCAGATCTGACCATCTCTGTCATCATCCTCCCCATGCCCTCAACAAAGTCTACAGCGTGGACTCACCCTTTGAGGTAGAATTTTGTCAGCCATCTTCTTTTTCTTTGCACTGTTTGGAATGAATACTGTTATTAGGTTGGGGTGGTACTAGTCAGAACAAGAAAATAGGCCGTCAGCACCTCCATTTACGTAAAGTGGTGGGGCGGCAAAGCTTCTCTCAAATCACAGATCCGCCTCCCTCCCTGCAACAGCACAGGGCCTTCTCAGGCGGGGTCCCCCCCCAGACCTGACTGCTAACACACCACCACCACTATCACTTCTTGGTGGGTGGTCCACCCACCTGTGTCCTCACAGACTTCTTCCTCCCTCCCCACCTCCGCACCCCCAGCATCCTCTTACTTGTGGTTTCGATTCTGGACTGCCTGCTGCTGGACCTGCTGGATCTGCTGAGGTGCAGGTCTCTTGCGGGATTGGTCCAGCCCTGACTGGGCCAGGCCAGGTCGGACGGAAGGGTTCCCCCCATAGCCTGGGGGGCCCATGGAAGGTCCCTGAGGTGTCATTCGACTGCCTGGCAGCATACCTGGTCTCTACAGAGGGGAGAAGACCCAGAGATGTCATGGTCTTGGCCAAGGCAAAGGGCAGGCAAGGGCTGCCTGAGTGCTTTGAATGAAACAGGACTGGGGGGTGGGCTGGAGCAAAAGGACAGAGCCCAGTGGTAAGAGGTCCCGGCAACTGGGGGTTCCCCCACCCCAACCGTGCACCCACAGGAGTAAGGCCCTGATGCTGAGAAACCTGCTCGACTATACTAAAATTCTCCCCAGCCTCTCTGGATCGAACACATTCAGAGCTCTCCTCTAGGACCACTATTTCAGAAGGCACTGACCCCAATTTGCCAGCCGCACCTCCGACGTCCTCTGGACACGGGGTCTCTTCCAGCCCTAGACTTCACATGTCGCCCTTGGGGCCCCTATATCCACCCTGCTCCCCGACTCTCTCTTCGCCTGGAGACAATGATCCCCTCCCCCCTCCGCCCAGCAGGTGGGGATGCGAAACGCTCCCCTTCCTCTCCGCCTCCTGCCTCTCCCACCCCCAGCCGCGCCAGACTCTCCCCCGAGAGTCCCTCCTACTTCTCCCTGCACCCGAGTCCCTCCCCGGGCCCCGCTCGGCCCCGCCCCCGCCCGCGCGCCCCTCCTCCTGCCCCCGCTCACCGGATAGGCCGCGCCGGGCATCGGAGAGCGGTACAGCCCTTGACCCGGCGCCGGGCCCATCCGCACTGGGGGCCCCGGAGTCCCGCCCGGGCCC